TTGTAGAGGGCCCACCCAGCCCTCTACAATTCCACACCACAGCTAACATTTGTCCTGTGGGTGCCAATTGAGGCTGGCATCCCCCACCTTCTCTCCTTGGAATTGCTCTTTTCTTTTCTTTGAAGCTGATTGACAAATTATGAGTTGCTGTTGAGAATTAGATTCTTCTTCCTCTGAAGCTCTTGTTCTTTTTCCTTTTGATTCCTGCTCTGTCACAATTGAGATAGGTGACTCTCTCAGAAGTCTGCCATCCCTACTTCTGTCCCTTCTCCAGGTCTTCAAAGGATGAGAAGTATTGCTTATCAAATTGTCACCAATAGTGAGCACAGGTTCTGTGGTGCAAGAGGTTGGCTCAATCTCCATAATTTTGCTTGATTCAACAATCTGCAGTGATGACTCAACCAGTTGACTCTTAGGCCTTGATGAATGAGAAGCCGAGGCTACTGAATCTTGCTCTTTTCCTTTACTATTTGCTGGTGAAAATTCTGATATAGGTATGATTTGCTGACTAGATTCAGCCTGTTGAGAAGAGGTATGTGGAGAAGGCATGCTGTTGTTTCTCGCAGGAGATTCTGAATAAGGGGTGCCTCTAGATCCTGAATTGGCATTATCAGACCATTTCTGCCCTTCTGTTGCCTTCATGAAGTCTCCATATTGACCTTCTTTTAGAGCATTATTATTAATATCTGAGATCCTTTTGGCACAACTTCTGTCCAAGTGCCCAATCATACCGCAATAATGGCAAAGATTTTGCAGCTTCTCATACTTAAACCCAACCTGTGCTGTTTGATCCCCTAACCTTATATTTGCAATCCTAGGAAGGGGTTCATCGAGATTTAATGTGACCAACAGCCTGAGATATTTACCTCCATGGTTCCCAGAATTAGCCAATACAACATTCTTCACATTCTTGAAGACTTTGCCAATTTTAAGCCCTACTTCTGTACTCAGCCAATTAATAGGAGTATTTGTAACTTGAACCCAAATGTTGAGTTCTTGAAAGCAAGAATGCTTACTTGATATTCCATGCCTCCATTCCTTCAGAACAAGATATTGATTTTCGAAGCTCCAGTTAATTCCGTTCGCTACCTTCTGTTTATCCTCTCTACTTTGAAATATGAATTGAAAGTAATTCGGGCTCAATTCTTTGATTTCCATACCTTGATGGAGCCTCCAGATGTTAGTCATTGTGCGTTTAACCCCGATCCAGCTCGCCGCTCTGTCACCCACTATTTTACCAAAGAGGCTTCTACTGCATTCCTCTGCACTTAGTTTGATATCCGTTTGAGCAATATCAATGAAAGTAGCTTCTTTATTTGAAAGCGAGAACTCCCGTAATTGCTCTGAAAGATCTTCTTCCTGGTTATCTGCCATGATCTGAAACCCAAGAACGAGAACGGATGCCCAGAAAATAACAAACCCGATCGATAAAAATAGGACCAAAAGAAGACAAGGAACAAGGACGCTAGCAGTAAAAGAAAGGATCTGAGAGCTGAACTTCAAAATGGATCGAAGATAGAAGAATCAATGATCGGAAAAAACCCTAAGCTCCCACCTGAGAGAATCCCCTAAGCTCCCACCTGGAATTACTAATTTAATAGTTGAATTTTAAAGTTGGACTTTAAAATTTAAAATTCAAATATAAATGTAATTATATTGAAAGCCTACTTAAAAGAGGAGATTTTATTTTACATGGGAGATTATATTTTGACCAATTAATTTTGAAAGTTAGTTTCATAAATTATGTGTCATTATATTTAATTAATATTTAATTAGATTAAAGATTAAAATTTAAAATTAAATAAATAATAATTATTATTGTTATTATTTAATATGGTAGATGAAAGTTGTTAATTGTTCTAACAACTATCAATCATCACCATTTTTAAATATAATAAAATAATAATTATTTAGATGTATTATTAAACCAATTCACCAAAGTCAACCATCATGTATATATATATCTATATTGACAACTTGATTAGTATTTTTAGATGTATATATATGTTGGATGCGGATGGTGAACAAATAGTGAATATAGTTCACAAACAAGATTTGTCCCATTTATTTTTGCTCACGGTTTTTTGAGTAAAAATAAAATAAAATAAAAATCTCCTCTTTTATTTGATTTCAAAATACCTATTCAATTCCAGGAAAATTTCTACTAGTGAAGAAATTGTTCTCGAAATCAGAATCTAAAAGGTGGACTTGATTAGAGGGGAGACACTTGGATCCCTTATGGTGAGACCCACGAAGACGGTGATAGCTACATAACCGGAAATTGATTTCCTCTCCGTCATCGCTTTACAAAGAAAATTAAAAGGTAATTTTAGAAATTCTCTACAAATCAAAATTCGTATTTTTACGTGATTTTAAAATATGCCGGTCGTAACAATCGCTATTTTAACCGAGGGGTTTAGTATTTATTAAATGCTTATTTATTTCGTATTATTTCTACTTCGTTTTACCTCATACGGTATAGCGAACCTAACAGTGGTATTAGAGCCAAGGTTTGCATCTTTAAACTCAGATTTTAATTTGTTTTTGTTTATATGATAAACATGTTTAACTGTTAAATTATATATTTTGTGTGTGATAAAAATGTTTTATATGATTTAATTTGGGATGAAATGATAACCTTGGGCATGAATCATAGAGATGATTCAGTAAATTGCATCAAAATTATTTGGTGAAATTTAACTTTGGTTATGCCTCCAGATTTTTATTTTTATTTTTTTAATTAATGGGATGGCTATTATATGCACATGTGATGTATATATATTACTTACATGACCTACTCCCATTATATTAATTATGTTTGGTGAGGTTGTTAGACAACCATCTTAACACCCATATCTCACAGAATCACTTATTATATATAATTGTATTATTATATATATAACTCATATGAGATGAGTTAAGTGTGTTATTATTCACGCAAGTGTTGCGTGATACTTTTCCTATTGGCACAACAAAATTTTGATCAAAGCACACAATTTTCTTGTTTTTTTTTTTTTTGAAAAAAACAACGTTTTAATTAAATTTAGATTTAAAAGTTAAATCTAAATTAATTAAATAAACTATTATGAATAGTTAAAGTTATTTAATCCCAAAATTAAATCAACACACAAAATTTGGTAAATTTATATGCTTTTAATTCATATGATGAATGTTTTTAGCATATATGGATGAGTTCATAAGATGTATGGTTTATTAAGGGATGATCATGAGCCTTTTATTCAATGTGATTGAATGTTTGTAATTTATCCAGACCTGCGAGTCTCTTATTCTATTATTTGTAATAATTTTAAAATTATTGCATCGAGAGTAGATTAAAATGTGAGTTTTCTAATTCTGATTGGAGGTCGTTCGATGAAAAAGGCCCACGTTTGTGTGGGTAATTTTACAAGTTCTAAATCTCGAAGGCCTGTACTTGTACGGGTAGATAAAATAAAATGTAATAGAAGTAGTTTTATTTATTTGTTTTATCACGTACATAGGCATAGATCCATTTTGGCTCGAATGGATCGTATAGGCAAGGTCGTGATCATCCCACCATATGCATGCATTAGATGTATGTTAGGTTTATTTATACTTGCGTTTCATGCGATGAATGATGCGATAAATAAACACAAGATGGAAAACGATGAGATCTAAAAAATGAACCCTAAAGAATTAATAAGATCAATTCTATATCAAATCAATCATGGATAAAAATAAGTTGGAACTTATTAATCCAGGCCTTCCATCAAAAGTAGATGACATGAGATGCTACGATGCTTTATCACTGACCATGAGTCGTGAGGTGGTTTTGTGTTGAAAGTTGTGATCCCTACTAAGTATAGAGATACTCGTGAGACGGATTCTCTTTGTGTTAAACATGAGTCGTGTGACATTCTGATGGGCCGTTATCATGAATGTTTGATGGGTTTGATTTAACACTTAGTAATATATACGATCATAAAATTGAGGTATATAAGGAAAAGTGAGGCAAAATATCTTGAAGGTTGTATAGTGATACAATTGTCAAAAGTTGACTACCAGTATAAATGTTTCATGCGTACTCATAAAATTGGGATAAGGAATATTTTTATTGGACTTCAAGACCACTATGAAAATTAGATTTTCATAATTAAAATGGGGTTTTAATTAAAATAGTGGGACATTTAATATTAAAGACCTAATATTAAATGAATATAAATTCCATAGTCTAATTATTTTCTGCTTCCTTTGTTGTTTTTGTAGATCAGTCTACTAAAATGGCTCAAAATTCAATTGCAAGTATTCTTGAGCAAAACAAATTAACTGAACTCAATTTTAATAAATGTTATCATTGTGGTAAATTGGGCATTGGAAGAGGAACTGCAAGGAGTACGACACACACGCCTCAACAAAACTGATCCACCGCTCAGGAAATCCCATCCTAGCCAGTGCCTCCCTAAGAAACGGCCCGACGAGCCAGGACCGCCGCGACTGAGCCGGACTGGAGCCGCGAACCAAAGCAAGCCTGAAAAGTTCAGGCATTTATTTTGTTGAAGTTAACTTATCAGTTAACGATTTTTCTTGAGTACTGGATACCGGTTGTGGCTCACATATTTGCAATGATCTACAAATGACGACAAGAAGTAATAAGCTAGAAAATCATGAAACAATCCTAAGGATGGACAATGGAGCAAGGTTGCTGCCAAAGCAATTGGGACTGTTTATCTAGCTTTAAATGATGGTGTAAAAATTTGTTTGACAAATTGTTTGTATGTTCCGGATGTTATAAGAAACATAATTTCTATTCCAGTAATGGATAGAGAAGGTTTTAAGTTTGTAATTGAAAATGGAAGATGTTCTATTTTCAAAGATACAACTTTTATATATTGTGGAAATTTGACAAATGGTTTATAAACCATTACACCACAAAGTCCCATCCTAACCATTCAACAAAATTAAATAATCATAGTTCATTCACAATTTGGCATGCTAGATTAGGTCATATATCTGAAAAAAGGATTCACAAATTGGGACCAAAACTCGACCTTAGGGGAGAGGAAAGGTTGTCTACATGTGAATCATGTCTTAAATGTAAAATGACAAAATCACTATTTGTTGGACAAGTGGAGCGAGCTAAAGGTCTGTTGGATTTGATCCATACAGATGTTTGTGGACCAATAAATGTTAGTGCCAAGGGGAACTACTACTATTTCATAACTTTTACTGATGATTATTCACGGTATGGTTATGTATACCTATTAAGGTACAAATCTGAAGTATTTAAAAAGTTCAAAGAATTCAGAAGTGAAGTGGAGAAACAAATTAGTCGTAGTATTAAAGTTCTTCGATCGGATCGAGGAGGTGCATATTTGACCAATGCGTTTTTTGATTATTTACGAGATAATGGGATATTTCACAGTGGACACCTCCTGGAACTCCACAACTCAATGGGGTTTCAAAAAGGAGGAATCGAACATTGTTGGACATGGTTCGATCGATGATGAGTTCCACTAGTTTACCTCTTTCATTCTGGGGCTATGCCTTAGAACAACAACACATATTTTGAATAGAGTGCCGAGTAAAGCTGTACCCAGCAAACCTTATAAGATATGGTGTGGTAAAACACCCTCGTACAAGTATTTGAAAGTATGGGGTTGTACTGTTTATGTGAAGTAGTTAGTGGGAGGTAAGTTGGATATGAGATCCATCTTATGTAAATTTGTGGGGTATCCAAGAGAGTCTATTGGATACTATTTCTATGATCCCTCTGAACAAAAGGTGTTTGTTTCGAGGAATGCTGTTTTCTTAGAAGAAGAATTTCTTTCAAATAAGAATGATGAGATTATAGAACTTAATGAAGAACCACAAATTATTCCACAAGTTGTCACATATAACATACCAATTGAGACTAGACCATCTGAAACACAACCTCTTCGGAGATCCATAAGGGTTTCTAGGGTGCCTGAAAGGCTGAACCTATTGTTAGAAAACAAAGAAGAGGGACTCTTTTTGGATAATGATCCAATAAGCTATGAAGAGGCAATGCAAGAAGATATTCAATCCGAAATGGACTCCATGTATTCAAACAAGGTATGGACCTTGGTTGATCCACCACAGGGTATTATACCTATAGGTTGTAAATGGGTTTACAAGAGAAAACGTGGTGTAGATGGAGAAGTGAATACTTTTAAAGCATGTCTGGTTGCAAAAGGTTATACTAAAAAACAAGGTGTTGATTATGAGGAAACTTTTTCACCAGTAGCAATGCTTAAATCTATTCGGATATTGCTGGCCATAGCTGCGTATTATGATTGCGAGATATGGCAAATGGAGGTGAAGACTTCTTTTCTTAATGGAAACATTAAGGAAGATATTTA